CCTTCCTCCCTTCCTTCCTTCCTTCCTTCCTTCCTTCCTTCCTTCCTTCCTTCCTCTCTCCTTCCTTCCATTTTCCTCCCTCCCTTCTTTTCTTCCTTGTTCTTTGCAGCTTTTAGTTTGTTCCTGCCTTTGCACCTTTGCACTAACTCTGTGGACAATGGCTCCTTCTAGTCGCTGCTCTCAGCTGGAATCTCACCTCCTCTGAGAGGTCCTTCCCGACTACTCTGATCTAAAAGGGCCACCCAGTCACTGTGTCACGGCCTGGCTTCAGGAGGCAGCTTTCTCACTGCCTGGTGTATTTCTTGTTCATACATTGTGTTTCTTGTCTGTCTCCCCACCAGAATGCCAGCTCGATGAAAACAGGGACTCATCTGTTCTTCCCACTCTATCTCTAGTGCCTAGCACACAGTCAGCCACTTAGTAAATATTTATGCAATTAATACATAAGTTATTCTTCAAATTTATTACAAACAACTTAAAGAGACCTAAAGTCTAATAAACTGAGTGTCCATAAATATGAAAGTCTAAAATGTTCCTACCCTTAAAAAAACTTAGTGTAATTTTCAATTCTGTTTTAAGATTAAAAATATTTTGTAGTCCTTAAGATAACCTGAAGCCAAATTATCATTACTATTTTTATAAGAGATAGTATCCCTGGACCGAAATCATAAACATGAAGGCTTACTTTTCTGACCCCAGACAAATAAAAGTACCATTTTTTTTTTTTTCTTAAAAATTGCTGGAGGTAGGAATGTTAGCATTTCCAGGACTGCACTTTGCTCACAGAGCCCTCTCTAAATCAACTTGGATTTCTGTTGCAATTCAAAGTTTTGCTTGTTGGTTTGTGTCTTTCTGTAATTCTCCATGGGCGATGGCAGGCAGTAAGTCTGTCTCTTTCTCATTTCAAAAGCTTTTCACCTAACATGGAAGATTAAATCATCCGTTGGACTTTTCTTCTCCTGGTAAATTAAAGCAATTATCTTCACTTTTCCTTACTGGACTCGTTTGCCAGGGCTTTAATTTAATTGAGCCATGCTATAAAGGCAGTTAAGGTGCCATCTCTATGCCTTCTCAAAAGCTGCCATCAAAATAGGGGTATGCCGGTCTCTCTGCACTTCACCTCCTTAACAGAAAGACCCCTCTGGGCCTGGTGACCCCGAGCCCCAGCCCAGGCTTCCATTCCTCACCTGTTGCACCCCCAGCCCACTCCCAGCAGCACTGCAGTTATTGCTGGAGGACAGCAAGTTCTTCCCACACCAACGCACGGTGCACTGTAGCTACACTGCTTGCACGCGGACTCTTAATTTTTGTGGGAATGAGGGTGGTTGTCAGCTCTAAAAAACCATGTATGGTTTTTCTCCCTCAAACTCTCTCTCTGTGGCTTCAGATAAACAAAACATGCGTGCTCATTATTCACAGACTGATGATAGTTGCCCTGGGTTCTGCTTTGTGTGAAGAGGTCACACAGCTCCTGGGAATAAAATACTCGAGAACTATGAATTGATGTGAAAGTTTTCCCACAGCATTAAAAACTATCAATATAAAGAAGCTGCTGTGATTTCATGGTTGCTGTGCCCCAGGAAGAGCCTGCCTTGCCGACTGCTGTCTTTGAGGTGAGGGACAGAAGCAGCTCTTCCTGTGCATGCATGGCACGCTGTGCCCTGTCCACAGAGCTCTCCTGGAATGATGCTCACAATCCTCATGACCACCTCAGGAGGTGGGAGCCATCACTGTCCCCACTTTACAGGTGACAAAGCCAGGCTTGGGAGGTTAAATGGTGCAGTCCTGGTAGGCAGCATGAAGGGGCCCAAAGAGGTTCTTGATCTAAGTCCCTGGAGCCTGCAACTGTGTGTTACACGGCAGGGGTGCTGCAGATCGAGGCAGGCTGTGGACCGTGACGTGGGGGTGTACCCTGGATGATGCAAGTGAGCCTCACAAGAGTCTCTCAAAGCAGAGACCGGTCCCAGGTGGAGTTGGGGGGCAGCTGCAGAAGATTGAAGTCAGGGAACTCTGCTGACCTTGAAGCCTAGGAAGCAAGGAGACCGATTCTCTCTTGGAGGCTCTGGCAAGGAGCACAGCCTGCCAGCACCTTGGTTCTAGTGTGGAGAGACCTGGGCTGACTTCTGACCCAGAAAACTGCAGTAAGGCATCTGTGTTGTTTTAAGACACTAAGTGTGTGACAATAGAGTATTAGGAAACTAATGCAGGTTTTGGTACCCGAAGTCTTTCCAGGGGAACTGATTTCTGGGTTGGTTCTCTAATCTAACTAGACTTGAAGGCACCAGGCACCCTGTTTTCAGTGGTGAAAAGGCACTGGCAGTCCAAGGGATGATGTGGCAACAGAAACACGTAATTCCCCACTGGAGGCCCCACTTCCAGTACCCAAGCCTGAGCCCGAGTTACCTTCTCTTCTCTAAGTTCTTTCCTGAAAGCATAGCCTTCAATACGGTTTTTTTGGTCCACAAGAAATGAGCTCTGCAGAAGTTCTCTCCAAGGCCAAGTTTGGATGAAAATTTGGTCCTTGGTGATTAGCTTTGCTAACTCTGCCTGGAGAGGTGCTCAGTGAAGTGTATTGGATGGAGTGCGTCCCTGGAGGAGAACAGGGAGAACAGCCTGCTTGGGAATGCTGGCTCTCCCACTTAATGTTTGTGTGAGTTCCTGCGCCTCTTTAAGGTCTCAGTTTCCCCATCTGAGAGACACAGAGGACAACAGTGGTCATGTGTAAAGCTTTCCTGCAGGTAAAGCTCAGGATGCAGTAGGAGCCACACTGGGACTACTGCACTGCAGAAATGTCTTCTGTGCACGCACCCAGGTGCCATTTGCATCCAGACATTAAAGCAAAGAACATCAGGCAAGAGACATTAATGTTGTATAAAAACATACAGTTTTCTCCCTTCAGGTTCTTAACACCTGATGGTGGGGTTTGAAGCAGGTTGTGCCAGAAAAGCTGACTTAATAATCAGCTTTGGGGTATAGAATTACTCTACATGACAGGGTTGGGCCTGGCTTCTGCTGATTTAATTTTTTTTTTTTTGGGTCTGGAGGAGAGAAAATGAGCACCGTGCAGATTATTCTGTGCAGGATTTTATGTTCATAGCAGAGGTTTCAATCTGAATAGTCTGTTGGAAAATCTGGGTGGGCAAAATGGCCTGCCAAAGAACATGAAGTAATGAGGCTTAGGGCTGTGTTTCCTCGCGTGAGCTCTGCAGAACACGTTAATAGGTATTGTTCAACAAAAGGTACTTCGAGACAGCGGCCCTGTGGTGGAACAGCCCAGGGCATGCAGGACTGACAACATTAAATGTCTCTCTCTTTTTCAAGGACTTCTAGCTTCCCACCTGCTGACAGATGTGATGGATTCTGTCATGGGCCCCTCAGAGGGACCATCTTGTGCAACATCTCTCTGAGCCAGCTTGACCTTGAAACCCTACTCTGTTTGCTGTTTGGTGAGCTCTGGCCAGAAGGACTACCCGTCTGTGGCAGCCAGACAGGAAAGGCTCTGTTAGTAAGTGAATAAAGCACACTTTGTCCTTCCAGGCCTAGTAGACACTGGGTCTCAAATTCTTTACCTGAGCAAGAAGACCAGACCAGAGGACGAGCTCCCCGGCCGTGCTACAGCGAGGCTTCCACTTAATGAAAACCTTCAAGGCAAACCTTCAAGGTCCAGGTAAACCATAGGGAAAGGGATGAAATGGGCCAGTCTGTAGTGCAGTTTTATAATCTCTTTGCTGAGAAATGTAAAACTTATTAAGACTTCCACTCTGAGAGGCTGAGGCAGGAGGACCACAAGTTTGAACTCAGTCTGGGTAGCTTAATGATTTGGGGAGACCCTATCTCAAAATAAAAAATAAATGAAGGGCTGGTGATGTTGCTCAGTGAGAAGGCCCCAGGCTCAGTGTCCAGTACAGAAAAAAACCTTTAAACATTTTTATTCATCTTAGTTATTTGAACAGTGCAAAAAGGCAGCTAAAGTGCCTTTACTTGGTGTAATATGTAAGTGGATGAATGATTCATCAAAGAAATTGTCTTGATTGCGGTAATTATGATCTTTGGAGCTGTACTTTGCATAAAAAGCAGAGTCTGACATATCTGAGAATTAAGTGTTAACTACCTAGATGTTTAAAAGGTTTAAACCAAAATTAAGCTCAAGATCTTATATATAACTGGCCCTTCTTAGTCTTCAGAGATGCAGCCATGTAATGGATTAAGGTCCAAAATGGCATTACACGGATCTATCCCTTTTAGAGTCTAATGCCAAAAGTGCTGTTCAAATGTGACCTTATTAAAGACTTATTTTATGCTATCTTATAAATACCTAGGGTTACTTACACTTTTCTATGTGCTATTTACTTTTTTTTTCTTTTCTTTGAGACGGGGTCTCCCTGGGGCCTTGAACTCACTGTGTAGCCCAGGCTGGCCTTGAACTTGCAGCAATCCTCCTGCCTCTACCTCCCAAGTGGTGGGATTACAGGCGTGTGCCACCACATCTAGTTTTTTTTTAAGATAGGGTCTCACTAGGTAGCTATTCACTTTCAAACATCCTTCCATTATCATAACACGAGTTTACCGAAACACAGATCTCTCCCAGCCCTGTTCAGTTCCCATAATCTTAGGGTCCAATCAGTTGAATGGAGGGGTGAGTACATGAATTTAAAAGCTGACTTTGGAAAGTAGTAAAATGTAATTAATTTCAGTTATTCTAGTGGAAGTATAGTTTAATAAAAAAAGTTTTTTTCTTTTAAAATGTTTCCTCGGGTGTTAAAGCAGCACAAGACACATCACCACCAAACAATGCAGTTTATTCCAGGAAATAAGCCTTGATGCATCTTTAATCTCTTAAGGATTCAACCCAGGCTATTAATTTTCTGGTCACAGGCTACGTCACTCTTTTCTTACTGGAATGAAGAATTTCTTTTTTGCCTGCAGGCAAAAAGCAGTAATGTGTTGGTAGGACTTCAAGTCTGGCCTATCATGAAATATTCAACACAGCATAAAGAGTAGAAGTAAATCACAGAAATTAAAACTCTTTCTAGTGCTTACAGCTGATCGATGAAAGATGTGAAAAGACTGCGGACAAGTGGGAAAATAAATGGGGTGGGGAAGAAGGCACAAAGTGTGAAAGACCTTGAGAAGGCTAATCTGAGTTGGGAAGTCCACCCCTAAAAGTTGGAAGGAAGCGGAGGCTAAGGGAAGAGGTAGGAAGTGACAGCTCCAGAAGAAGCAAAACCCATGGGTCATAATACATCAGGATGAGGTGTTTCAGTGGGCAAGGCATTAGGACTGACGGCTGACTGACCGACTGACCGACCGACCAATACTAATTCTTTCTCTGCAGCCGTACACAGCATGCTGAAATAGAACCAGCACGGTAAACAGATACAACATAATGCAGCCTGTGGGAAGCTCATAACATGGACTAACCAACTGGTAATAGCTTCACAGAAGAGGCCCCATCTGAGCTGTACAAAGGAGAGGAGTTTGTGGGGAGCTGGAAGGGATGGAGAGATGGGTCAAAGAAGACGGGGGACTTTGCGGGCAGGAGGAACGGCAGACACAATGGCACCAGCTTATGTGGCTGGGGAGGGCTAAGTGAGAAGGTCTGTTTTTTAGGATACTTACAGCACAACGTTGCCAAGCAGCAGGGGAGACAGACCCATTAAGAGGCTGCTACAGTTGTCTGAGCAAGAAAAGATGAAGGTGTGAATTAATGCAAGGGCCATGGAATGTGAAAGATGGGTCACATTGGAAGTCCCTTGAGGGACTTTCAGATATCCACGATTGAGGGTAGGGCGGGAAGGAGGGTGGGGAGAAGTCACATATGTCTCAGACATCCACTATGGGAGGCTGCCACAGGAAATGTAAGAGAGCAGAGAGTTCAGGGGCGGAGATACGGCGTTCAGCTTCCTGCAACATCTGTGAGACCTCTGGATCATCCAGGCAGGGAGGAGTAATAAGTAGACAGAAGAGGCTGTGGAAAGAGAGGCAGGTCTGGGTCTGGAAAGAGGCTGATAGGGCGTGAGTGCCTAGGAGAGAAGGTGGCATAAACAGGCCCAACGTGCTGGCAGAGGAAGAGCAGCCTCCGAGAGCCTGGGATGGCTTGGTCAGAGAAGAGGAGGAGGAAAGGAAACCACGGTGCGGATGGCATGGAAGAGAGAGGCTCCAGGTGGCATATCCAGGGGGTGGGCATGGATTAACCCTGCACAGGTTCAAAAAGGATCCAGATCAAAAAAGCAATCCTGCTGGGCAACACGTGAAGAGCGTGCTCCCAGACTCGAGGACCTGGCGTGGGGGAAGGAGGAGTGAATGGAGCTGGGAGGTGGATGGGCCAGTAAGCACGGATGATTTGGGGTCGGTTTTGGTGGCAAGTGCAAGAAGGGAAATAGGACAGCTTATTAAAGGGTATGTAGTACATGAAGGATTTTTCTTTTTGAACAGAAGAACCTAAGTATCTTTGTAGGGTGAGAGAAAGGAGGAAAGAGGGAGACTATAAGGTGAAAAGATCTGTGAATATTTGTGTGCCATGTCAGAGATGGTAGGATACATGGAATTCTTGTCACAGACCAGGCATTGCTGCTGTACTATCCTGGGTTCCACGCCACATGTCCCGGTGAATGCCAATGTCATACTTTTTTTTTTCCACATACTGAGGATTAAACCCAGGGCTTATTCAGGCGAGGCAAGCACTGTACCATGGAGTTATATCACCAATCCTTTTTATTTTGAGACAGAGTCTCACTAAGTTACCCAGGACGGCCTCGGACTTGTGATAGGGGGGTTATAGGTCTATTCCAGGGCATCTGGCTTCAATTTGTGACTTTAATGTCACGCTTTTACATGCTACCCATAGAAAGTAGGACCATACTGTTGTGCTTGTTTTAATGACAAGGGACTGGATCAGAGGGCTTTCTGAGGTCCTAAACTTTGAATCCTAAAAATGTACGATTCAGTATGATTTGATCCTTTTTACAAATTCATTACTATTTTACCAATCTAGTCCTTGGTTAAAATATCAGCTAGATGATCCCAGTTTTCTTTTTATAACACTGTCTTTCTAGAATATTCTTATTCTCTAATCTCAGTTGACTTCCTTAACAAGTTACATATCAACCATTTCTATCACATTTCCCTTTTTATATTCATCAGATTACAGCCATGGTGTCAGATAAAACATCCCAATGAATGGCAAATGTCAAAAGCAGCACAATTTATTTTTTCTTTACATATTGCTAAGACTTGTATTCCTGCTGCTTGTTTCTCTCAGTCTGTTGCAGGGATCTCGAAAAGGGCTTTTTTGGGAAAAAGGAAAAAAAAAAAAAAGCTTCTACTGCTGATTCAGCATTTCAAAGTATTAAGTCAGATACATTTATATTTTATAAGTTATTAGTGTGACAAGAAGAGGTTGTATTAGTTTCCTAACATCTGCAGGTGCTGGTGGTCTTGACAGTAAAATGTCTATAGTTCTTACCACATAGATCAGGAACTGCCAGCCCACGAAGTGATACTGTACGCTTCTTGCTGAGACAGCCTGAGTTATATTTGGAGCAAAGTTCACCAATAAATATGTTCCTGCAATGGCCAGTGTCATACCTTAAATAAAACAGAAAAGACAAACCAAATTGACAAGGGGCACTTAAAGGCTTGTGTTGCTGCAGACATTACTTAGAGATGGAGCATTACTTGTTAAGGAGTGGATGGTTCCTCCCTACAAAAATACGATTTAAAAACCATCCCTAGAGAGCATCACACATTCACTGAAAGGTGTTATCTACAAAGCAGGGATAAAAGTCCAGGCATGGGTAGAGCAAGAAGTAACTTTGGATTTCTCTCTGTTCTTCCAGGTGAATCCTGGCCTCTGCAGGGAAGCTTTCCCAGAAGGTAGAGCAGTTCAGACCATGTGCAGGTGAAGATCTGAAAACACCTCCACCCGACTGTTTCCATGTGGGCCAGTAAATCGCGGTGGACCTGGGTCCCGGAAGTGAAGTCCACCTGCTCATCTCAGCAGCCTCTACACCCACGCAGGTGATGGCACCCCCGGAAACACTGGTAACAATCATGTTTGCTGGCCCACATTTTAATTAATCTAATCTAGGATCTAAAATTTCAAGGTCAGCTTAGTAAAAACAGATAACAACAGAAACCTAAGGACAGGAGTGTGTTCCTCCCATTTTAGCATTACCGAAAGCTGAAAACGATGAAGGGAACGCGGGTGGGAGGCGTGGCCACCAAAGGAGGGGTGAAAGGAGGACTTGCCTTTCTGATACCTCTAAAACTACTTATTTACATACAATTAGCAGCCTGAGGAAAATTGATATGGGCAGTGTTTTTCAGACACCACACTTGAAAACATAATCCAGCTCATTTCAACACTGAGATCAGCATTGTGGATATAATTTACAACCAGCATCGATTCCAACCTGAAACAAGTTACGCTGTGTATAAAATCTCACGCTTTGAAGCCACCAATTTCCTATTCTTCTTAACAGCATGATTTACTTTTTGAACACTAGGTTCTGAGAATGAACAGTGTTGGGTTTTGCACACAAGCTGCACAGTACCTATTCAGGATATTTTAGAAGCTATAAATAAGTTTTAAAAAAATTTATTCTGTAATACTTTGTGAAGACATTATATACACAACTTTTAAAGCTATTTCTAATGAGAACTTTTATACTGAAAAACAGTATACATTATTAAACACTGTAATAAAAGCAAAATAATGAAAATCATATATAAGAACCTGGGGGAAAATTACTGGTCAGTCATGTCTTTTTCCTTGGGACAGAAAGATTATATAATATAGTTATTCTGAATTAGGTTCCTAAGGAACAGATTTTTAAAAGTGGTTTCTAAATCATGTATAGGCAGTAACGTAAAGCCATTGAATATACTTTAAACAGTCTCAGACACCTTGGTTTCTTTTGTGAAATCTAAATTTCTTATTTAAATAAGCTCCTCTTAACAGATTTTCTTCATTTCACCTAGTGTCATTTTTTTTTTTTTTTTTTTCCGGTACCGGGAATTGAACTCACGACCTTGCGCTTGCCAGGCAGGCGCTGTTCCACTGAGCTAAATCCCCAGCCCCTATCTAGCGTCAATTAACTCTTCTGTGTTTTAGCTTCATTTTGAGTTGGTGATACATGTAAGTGGTACAAATCCCAGAGATGCATAAAGGTGACCAATGAAGAGTTCGGTATCTCTCACATCCTGATGGTCCCAGTTCTGCTGCTCCCTAAGGTTAACTAGCGTTGCTAGTTCCCAGAGTCTTCTTTTTTGAGATGTTTTATGTATATATGCATGCATGTGCAAGAGTTTTGTTTTTTCACACAAAACCATATGTACACTGTTGTGTGTTTTTTTCCACTTAACATCTCAGAGGAAAGGTAGGGAGGTCTTACTGCTTTAAGTCTGCATAGTATTTCATTACATGAAGGAAGTATTATTTATTTAACTTAGTATTCAGGATTATCTCTGTTTCATATCCCAACACATTCCTCTGTTTCACCTGGACTTGCACATCTGCCTTTTGTGTTATTCTCTATTAATGGGTATCTTCATTGCATTGTAAAGCTAAAAATAAATAAAGTGGCTGATAGTTTTAAAATAAAACATTCAAAGTCCCTTTTCATACATACTATTTCATTTGCCCAAAGAGGCGATACGGACATGTCAGATCCCAAAGGAAGCAGGCAGCAGGGATGTGCTCCTGGCCCATTGGAGTGGTTATATTTCGGGTCAAGCCTTGAGTCCTGCAATTCCAATCCAAGCTGAACTTGCCCCTGACGAATTCAAATTTCACCACTACTTGCTAGCCAGAAGCTCAGACAAATTACTGATCCAGCTGTAACTGAATCTCATCTCTAGGTATGAGTTAAATCATCATACTCCAAGAATTTGGCTCCTTAAGAGGCCATTCTGGGCAGCAGAATACTCTTGGAAGCTCACCTGGAGGCCAGATGTGACACAGGACCTAGGTGTCCAGTGACACAGATGTGACACAGGATCCATCTCAGGACGCTGACTGCCTGCCATCAGTCAGAGACCATCTCAATTCTGCCTAAAACTCGATCTATAGCTGCATCTCTAACAGTTCTAGGCCAGAGAAGAGTAGGAGCCCTTACGGGGGCTGTCTGTAAGGAGGCAATAACCCACTCTGACCATGGAAGGTATAGCTTGTGACTTCTCATTGCTTAGTGAAGACTACTCCTCACTGGTCTTGAAAGAAAATAGAAGGAGAGGAATACCTAATATTAACAGAGCCCAGAGAAGCAAATGTGGCAGTACTATTCTACCCACAGCTAACCTTAGGAACTACTGCATAAAGTAATAGCATCTGGACTCTGGAAGGGACCGGAAACAGAGCAGCCAGGCGGCTGAGGGTAAGCTGCAGACAGGAGTCCAGGTCTGGAAGCTGGACGTCACCCACAGTTCGGGAATGTGGCTCCAGCCTCCTCTTTCATGACCAAACCACCAGCAATTCCATTTTCTCACCAAGTGCAACTCAAGTTACTTAAAGTGGGCTAGTGGGAATTTCACATTCATCTTTATATAATATACAAATAATGAAATCTCTTCCTTTAAACTTGTGCTATGTGGACAACAGGTATACATGCAAGTCCCTGCTCTTTACAACGATAGACTAGGTATCCTGGGAGGGGATATGACACAGAGCAATAATCTCTGTTTTTAAGGTGATATTCTCAAAACTACTGATTTCATAGATAAGTATGGCTGACATACTAAAATGTGCTGATAATAAAACCTGTAATAGATAATACTCTGAGCTGAATTCTAAATGCTTTATACATAACTAATTTTATCCTTATAAAAAATTTTTTATCAATGAAGGATACATTCCAAGGCCTCTGAAAGCTCAGATAGTACCAAACTCTACATATATTAGTTTTTTCTCTACGTGTACATACCTATGGTAGTTTATTTTATTTTATTTTTGTCTTTTTGAGACAGGGTCTTGCTATGCAGTTCAGGCTGGACTTGAGCTCACTTTGTAGCCCAGGCTGGCCTCAAACTTACAACAATCCTCCTGCCTCAGCCTCCCGAATGCTGGGATGACAGATGTGCACCACCACATCCGGCTGGTAGCTTAATTATAAGTTACGCACAATAAACTATGAGCCACAATAGCCAATAATAATATAGAACAACTACAATGATATACTTTCATAAAAGCTATTTAAAATTTATGAATTATTTATGTCTGGAAGTTTCCATTTAATATTCTTGGTTTGTAGTTGATCACAGCAACTAAAGCCACAGGAAGCAAAAGTGTGGCTAAGGGAGGACTACTGTTCATTAGGGTGTGACTATACTATTACAACATGTACTCTATAGAATTCATACGGTATATTATATATAATGTATACAACACATAATGTATACTCAAACTGTCATTGCCCACATTTGACAAATGAAGGAACTGAGTCACAAAGGGAAAGACATTTGTCTGGAATTCTCCAGCTATTAAGTGGAGTGCTTGGAATGGAATCTAGGTAGTCTATTTTCTTAACAGTTGCATTGTGTCCCTTGCATTAATGAGGGAGCTTTCATTTCAGCAAAATGAAAGCCTAGGGTTGTGCAGTCTATGGGAGTCTATATGAGCGAAGTCCTGCACCTGGCGGGATAGAAGGAACCGATTCTGGCTGGCAGAGGTCCCTGGGCTCCTGACTAGTCTCATGGGATTTTTGTTCCTACAGTTCCTTTAGCAGAACATTCCCACCAAAAAGGTCCAAGAAAGCAAACTACATTTGGAATAGGTGAGTTAAGCAAATAAGTGGTTCCACTGACAACCTCTTACACCCACTGATGTGGCAATGTTCACCATGATTCACTGAGGGATGGCGCTTGTCATATTTCTAGACACATTTGTCCCTTTATATTGCCTCGAAGTCATGTTTTGGGGGATGTTTTGTATCTGGAGGATATGCTTGCTATTGAACTGGACCTGGCTGTGAGAATACAGCCTTTGTTTAGAGAGGCCGTTGTTCTGTTGTAAAAGTGTCTGGTAGACACTTATGGGCAGGAATGAAATGTAACTCTGATTGGAGGGAACTGAGCCTCGACTCAGCTGGTCCTGGTGCTGCTGCTGTTCACCGTGGCTCCAGCCTGCCGAGCTCCTGTTGCAGGCAAGCCTCGCACTTCACGTCTGATGTGTGCAGTTCTTCCTTGCTTGGTATCCTGTTTCCCAGACTGCTTTTGCCCTTAACAAAACCCTGAAATCTTTAATTTTGTCCCCACTCTACCTCGCTGGACGCCAACTATTATTAACTGTCCATTTTCTAGTTTGTGGAACTTGTACTGAGCTGGTTTCCAGGAGCCTTCAGAGTTTTTTCAGCTAACCTGACTCCAAACAAGATTGCTGTCTGGTTCGTTTGGTCCTTGCAAATATGTCTCTTGCTCCACGGGATTCCAACAAATGCTCTTGTGGGATACCAGGAGTCACAGAGTTCACTGGACTCCTCAACACCAGACCATTTAGAAATGCCCTTCTGGAAATGCAGTCATTCCAGGTTTCTTGGGCTCATGGCAGCTGAGATTAAAGGAGGCTGGGAGATCTCAATAATGCAGGGAATCCGAATAGCCCTGGATCTGCTGTCGTGAAGGCTCCCATTGTTGAGGCAGCTCTGAAACAAAAATGCCCCACCTGCCCCCTCAGCTGGAAAAGACGCTGTACTCAGCCGGATTCTAGATACTGGACCCAAACCACACTGGCCTCGGGTGTGTCAGAAGGACGGAGGAGGCCTTTGTTTCACTTTTAAAATCATGACTTCCCATGGAGGGAAATCTTTCTGGGTGACTTGATGTAACCTAGTTATTGTCTCTGGGAAGTGCTGCTGAGTTGACTGTAATTTTTATTTCTATGATGACATTATCTGGGTTTAAATCAACTAAGATCTCACAGACTATTAGACTTGATACTTTTGATGATGGAGGGGGAAGAAAGGGGAAAATACTAGAGCGTTTGGCTGGTTGGAGAGACAGAAACTGGTGTTTTTAAAAGGAAAAATAATCATTAAAATAATTTAAAATTATTAATCCACTAAGAATCAGAGCAGAGTCCAGAGCTTGTCAGTGAGTTAATAATAGCTGGCTATTCCCTTCAGACATAGCTTTTGTGAGGTCATTTTTTTTTTTTAAGGCTAGTGGTGAAAAGCTTCATAGCCGCAGAATAGCATTTGGCAATAAATTAGTTCAGCTTGTTTCCACATGACCCAAAAATCTTCATTTGTTCCACCATGAAAAACAAACTTTCATTTGCTTCAAGTAGGGGAAAATAAATGATTTTCCTTCTCACATTTTGACAATTTAATTTTTAGCATGGTCATATGTTAATCTTTAAAAAACATCACTTACTTCTTTTCCCTGTTTGGTTTTAGTCCCTGTAAAGAAAAAAAAGTGGCGGGGGGGTGTGCATATTTTGCTTTTAATGGAAAGAGCTAAATTTTCTTAAGGCAATAGCAGTCAAGGCCCAAAGTAAACACACGGACCTCAACACATCATTGAGTGAGGTTGGAAAAGTCCTTTCCTGAGTATGAGGTGAGTCATGACATCTCAAATGATGACAATCCTGCGATATTCCTCACTGGAGGAAAGGGTGTGGGATAGGAATAAAAAATCTTATTTTACCACTACGACACCATTTTAAAGGTAAGAATAGATTGCTTAGACTGACAGTGTGAAATAAATGTGATTTATCACTTATACAGTCCTACTCAAAATGCATTCAGTTAGGAAGGCCAAAACAAAAAACAAATCAGAGTTGTGGGACATCTTAGCTGGATAATTCAAGTTTGAAAAATAACCTAATCAAGATTTTATTTTTTCTGTAAGTAAGTGATGTTTTTTAAAGATTAACATATGACCATGCTAAAATGGTAGTACAGCATAGTGGTGAGTGATTATAGTCGTAGTAATACAGCTAACATTTTTGAGCACTTATGGGATAGACCCCGTTTTAAGAATTTTAATATCTGAACTCTTTTAATCCTGGAAGGTAGGTAATATTATCTTCATTTTATAGATGAGGAAATTGAGGTTCAGAAAGCTTATTTAGGTAGTTTTACAAAGGCCACACAGCTTGCTGTTACTAGAGATTCACACTAAACAATTATAATCTAGCTTTATCAGGTTTCTATCGTTGGACTACTGGTCCATTGCCTACTAATTATATGACACTGGGCAAGGTGTTTAACCTAAGTATCATACTTTGCTTCTGTAAATGGGTTGTTCTTACATTTAAATAATATAATCCATGTAAAATACCACTGAGTACCTGGCAAGAGTGAATATTTAATAGTTATTTTTTGTATTAACATACAAAAAATCAGACTCCTAAAGAATTAACTCAAGGTTTTATTTTGTTGGTTTGCTTTCCTGGTATGTGTGTGTGCATTCCCATTCTCCATGTTATGTTGTTAGCGTTACCTCATGGGTATTGCTTAGGAATGAAGGTGATCATAGTCCTTAAAACAGTCATAGTGAGAGTATTTTACATTTCTCAAACTGCTTTTATATGGATTTTCCAATCTGATCCTCCAAACATCTTACATAGTTGTCAGCAAACAGGCTTTGCGAAGTTAAGTAATACTAGGGTGGCCACACAGTCGATAGCAGAAGTTGAATCCAGATTTGAATCCACAAGAGTGGGTTTAACTTGTATCCTTTAATTGGCTGAGCTAACGCATTCTGGTTTAGTCACTACTGGCTAAAGTTCATATTGTAATCATATCATCTGTATGAAATGATATTTCTATTTTTTCCTTTTCCATAGTTACGCCTTTCGTTTGTTTTTCTCTTATCCTTATATGGAGCAGGTGTAGCACAACAGTAAACAGAACTTAATTTACCTTTCTGCACCTCTGTTAACACTTCTTGTGTCAAGCCCTGTGTATGCCCTCCACCATATCCTTGGATGTGGCCTATGCCTGTCCTTTGTTGCTGTCAAACTGATTCAAATGACACCTCTGCTTAAAAAAATCTTTCCAGCCAGAGCCATTTCTCTTTATGCTACACTAGTGGTTCTCAGCTGAGGAGGATTTTTGCCCTTAGAGCATCTAGAGTTTTGCCCTTGTAGCATCTAGGGACATTTTTGATTGTCCTAACTGGGGTGGAGGCCACTGGAGGAATCTTGTAGGTGAAGGATTGAGATGAAACACCTTACAAGGAAGAGGATGGACAACCCCCGACAAGGGAGAATTAGAATTACCGAACCCGAAGTGTGTTAGTGCTGAGGTTCAGAAACACTGTTTTAGGCTCATGGCTTGTGCTTTTAAAAACTTATTTATGAATATGTCTTATCACCAACTGTAAATTATTTCAGGGCAGAGATTCAGTTGAAATTATATTTTTATCATTAATATTTAAGATAGTAAATCCTCCATTATATCCATTGTATTCTCTCAGTAAGTTAGGTTAATATCAGTAATCAACTATTTAACAACAGAAAAATGTTCGATGTTCAATAAAAGGATTCAAAGTTTCCTTAAAGCAAAACAGGGAGGTAGACCTTTGCAGATGGGAAGGGAACTAAGGATGGAGAGGGCAGAAAGGGAGGAGGGGGAAAGGGAAGCAGAAAGAATTAAGGTGCGATATGTACATGGAACCAACTTGCCAGGACGAATGCACTCATCGTGTATCACAAATATGTACTAATAAAGTTTCCTTAAGACATTTATAAATGGAAAAAAAGGGTAGGACCTAAATTTTTTAATTTATAAAACTCGGGCACTGGTCATTTTTATTTCTGATTTCATATGATTTCCTCAAATGATTCCATAAACCACAACATATAAAATAGAGTATAGAAAAGTAGTATGTTGGAAAAGATACAATTCACATATGAATGCATTTAGAAAAACATTTTAACCATGAAAAATTTGACAATGTTGACTAAAAACTCTACTAGCAGAATCAAACCAGAGAAGAAAAGAAAAAGTGAAAACACTTTCAAGGCATTAGGCTCAAGGGAAACACGATCAGGGCAAACAAATGCCCAACATACCAACACTGGTGTCACATTTAGAGCTCACATTTAAAAAAAATATGATCTCCCTGGAAGAGGGGAGGCATTGTTTTATTTAAAGTGCCTGAAGTATCTGTATTCATTACCATATGTCAGCAGCAATTCAAACAGGGTTTTGTCAGGGAAGAAAATATGAATCTTTATAATTCTTCTCACCAATGATATTTCTAACAAAAGCAAGACAATACCATGAATAAAGATAACACTGGTGTGTAACAGAAGTCTTTCTTAGCGCCAGGAAAGCTACTGTTATTTTCTATTAATAACTGTATTTTCAAAATAAAAATCCAAAAAGCAACCTTCTGTGTTACTTTTACAAGGAGCTATATACAATAGGTAGTTTTGGGAGTAAAACACAATAAGCTGTTACTTGGTGCACTTAATGTTACATGGTTTTCATTTTTATGCATTAGAAATATAACAATATACTGATATGTCCTTTGAAGAGCTACAGTCTCTTAGGTAGCACAGATATTTTGATTAATTTTATTATCTTCATAAAAATTTTACCCTAATAAAATAATATTACAGCATAATTTGCTATAGCCAATAGCATAGTAATCATAATGCAAGTGGAATTTTTTGTGTGTGTTTTTGAGACAGAGTCTCGCTCTGCAGTTCAGGCTGGCCTTGAGCTCACTTTCTATCCCAGGCTGGTCTCAAACTCCCAATGATCTCCTGCCTCAGCCTACTGAGTGCTGGGATTACAGGTGCGCACCACCACGCCCGGCCAAATGGAAATATTTTATGTGAGATGAGACAGCAGTTCCAAAATGGAGTGATGTTCATCTCTAAATGAGAATTTGCAACCATTTCTGTATTTTTTCTGTTTTTAAAGCATACATTTTTTTAAATGGATAGAACTGTTTCCTGATCAATGGATGTTACAGTTAATAATTACTCACCAAGTATATCTGAGGCTCTCAAATTTTCTTTTAGAAACATAACAGAAGTAATGGCACTACCTGTAAAGAAAATGGCCATTAGTGGGAGTTTGATATAAAAACATGTAATTATGCAATGTCACTTGAAAGAAGTTAAGCGTTTTGTGTCTTTTGCCTGAATAGCTGTGCCCTGAACAGAGACATCCAGCAGTTGTGGCTATAAAAACCCCTTTCTTCTCCTATGGAAACTGGCCTCATGTGCAAAGGACCTGGGGTGACGTGTCCGGGACAGTACGTGGTATGTCAGGAGGGACTGATACAAGTTTAGTCTATGACTGAATGAAGGTAAGCAAGGAAGGAGAAAAGAAAGATGGAGGGAGGAAGAGAAAGAAAGAGAAGGAAGAAAAGAACAGAGAAGAAGAAAAGAAAGGCAGGCACAAGATATAGGAAGGGATGGAAAAGCAGGAAGGAAGGAAAGAAAAGAACTTTATGCCCCAAACTGAAGCTCGTTAATTCCCAGCATCTCCTCCTACACTCCCTACTTCAAGGACTCCTCTCCTCTCTTAGAAAATCAGAATCCTGGGTTCTCCCTAGCCCCGGCCGCTCCCGCACCCCCCCCCCTCTCCCTCTCTCCCCCCCCCACCCCCCCCCCCCCCCCGCGCTGTTTGCTCTTGCCACGCCCACTCCCTTCTTCCCTCCGCAGTCACGGGCCCAGCTCAGGCAGGCTGGGTTCTGGCTTAGAGCGTCCCCAGGGCCTCCCTCTGGACCGCCGTTTCACTCCTTTCCCCGCACCACCACCAGAGTAGTCCTTCTGAAATGCACATTTAATGTAAACCCACAGCTTTCAAATCTCCTAATGGCTTCTTGTCATTTACAGGACCAAGGCTGAACACGACATTCAAAACAGCCATATTTGCTCTACATCTTGTCCACATTCTAAGCTCACCCTCACTGAAATACGTAACCCCGATTTCCGGGATCCACCATGTACCTCCATGTACCATGTTTTACAAGCGTGACTTTGCCCCCGTTCTGTGATCAATTCTAGACCCAAGAGCTGTCTCTGAGTTCCTCCAAGCTGGACTGACCATTCGACCCTCACACTGGGATGACCTCTATAAATGGTTTTCTTTATACCTAAGATTTATTTTCTTGTTTTCATCCAAAAGACCATTTAGTCTTACGGATGTTTTCTTATTCATCTAAGATCTCTAGCATGTAGCTAGTACCTAGCGTGAAGTATTTATTCCATGAAAAGAAAAGTGTTTGTGGAATCTCAGCCCTGCAATTTCCAGCCCTTGTGATGTTTTAGATCTTCTTTGTCATGACTGATGCCGCTAGATTTTTTGTCCTCCCTAGCCGAGCCATGGGCTGCTGCTGGGGCCTCAGGGACAAGGAAGAAACTGAACTTGTTCCTTTGATGGGACTATTCCGAGCACAGGCATTAGAGAACTCAAAGTTGCAGTAATAAAAAAATGTAAACATAGTTTGTATTTTATATTTTAAACAAATTACTCACTAAGGTTTTTAAAAGTAGAAATAGAGGAAAGAAAAATTTCACAAAATAATTCATCATCTAGGGAAAACTGAAGTTAAGATGCTAATGTTTTTATTTCCTTTTAGTGAAGATCAAACTCTAGTACTTTTTTCTCAGTTTGCTCCAGTACCATATTATGAACAATCTGTCGCGTCCTTAAGAAGTCCTCATACTTGTAATTCTAATGTCCCCATAATAATCCATTGAACAGATGCTGTAGCTAGCTTTGAATAGGTCTATGTTTGCTAGTCCGGCAAGTTATTTAAAACACAGTAACAAACTGACACCAGAAATCTTCATTTAAGATAAGCTGAGGTGCTCGTACTTCCCCCCATCTTTTCCTCAACTTAGCTTTTTGAGTTGGTCTTTGTTGTTGAAAACTTTTCTGGGCAGGTAATTCCAGGGATGGGAGTTTCACACAGAATAAAGAGCCTGGCAAGTGTCCACCAAGTGGGTGCTTAATTGGGTGGGATAGCTCTAAACTGTTAAAGTGAGAGTTCCTGTCGATAAACTCATGTGTGGGTACATGGCCTATTAAATGAAGAAGTGAGTTTCAGCTATGTATAAAAATGCATGACAATTTTCTATTTCAGATTTGGACCAGAATAATTCAGGGAAACTAACTTCACATGTTAGAGCCTTAAAAAAGGCATTAAAAACTATAAACCCTGCCACACCCCCATCCCCGACTGCTTGTATAATGAGGTAACAAGCGTTTCCAAGTGGAAAGAGATAGATTTACAGAAAAACACACCAAATGCATCCCCTGACAGTCACCCTGGAGATGACTACCTCACAGCAAAGGGGTCCAGATAAGAGGACAGACGTTGCCCTCATGGAGTGAGGACATTTAGAGCAGCAGGGACAGAGAGACACCTACTCCAGGTCCTAAACGGGCCCTGGGAAACTAAAGTGCAGACAGGGTTGTTTGCACACCGGCTTTCGGATCCACTCCTCAGACAATCCTTCCCTTGCGCAGAGCGGAGGCCACGGCCCAAATTTCCTCTTTTCTGGCCCAGAGCTCTTTCTAGTGCACCACACAGCATCGTTTCCCTTGAAGCAGAACAGACATAATTTCCCTTTGTTCTTGCTGCTAACCCACAAGTCTGAGAAAGATTTTATTTTCAGAAGGATGAGGGGGAAATGTTACATGGGAAATAATTTAATGGCTGAAAGCAAAAAAGGACATACTTGTACAACAAACAAAATCAAAACCTTAAAATATACTACCTGGGTCAAACTACATATGTATCAATTTCTATAAAATAATTAGTTTTATGAAACATAAATGTTACTCTTTCTTTCTGAAAGAATTTAGAAGTCTAATGCACTTCCACACTCATCCAATGACACTTTATCTGTTTTCAGAGAAAGAGATCGTCTATAAAGTTTTTGGATAATATGATTTTTAGTTTTATTTATGTAGTGAAGTAGTAAAAAAAATTCTGCTGATACATTTATTTATAACACCTTTATAGGTAAAATAAGAGCTATGCTGAGCAAAAAGACAGTACCTGAGTAACAGTTAATAACATGACGTAGAAATAGGGCGGTACATTTAAAAAAAAATCTTTTTTGTCTTTTTGAGACAGGGTTTCACTCCGCAGTTCAGGTTGGCCTTGAGCTCATTTTGTAACCCAGGCTGACCTCAACCTTGCAGCGATCCTCCTGCCTCAGCCTCCCAAGCACTGGGATTACAGGCGTGCGCCACCAGGCACAGCTAGAGTGGTAAATTTTAAAAAGAGAGAAAATAAATAAACAGAAGTACTTCTGTACAACTTTGTAGAGATCTAACTCAGTCCTCTCTAGCAGTTGCTGTCACCTGACCCGCTGCATAGTGAGCAACTAGAAAAGGGAACAGTTACACTTTTATTTCGATAGTGAAACTTAATATTCAAAACTGGAAAGACTATTTCAAGAGCAATAGTTTGGAAAGCATTAAACAGCACACCTGCAAATTAAACAGGTTTGTACAAGGTGGGATTAAACTACCATTATTACTGAGGATTTATTTCAGCGTTCACAGTTCTGTGTGCCTTTTCAGGGTGAAGCTCATGAATGTTTTTCCATCTGGCCTTCATAAGCCGTAAGAGTGCTCCCTGGTCTTGGTGCTGAGTTACTAAGTACTTTTCCAGAAAACCAAAAGAAAAAAAGTGGGGTTGAGCGTGTGTAAAGAAAACCAGGAGGAAAATGCATGCTCTCCTACACATCTGACGGAGTCCGAAGGTTACTAACATGTCCCTTCATTCAGAGGAGCTATTTTTTTCCAGGCAAAACTCACTGCCCACAGCCAATGGCCTGTTATTCTTGGCAAATGGGAAATGTTTACAAAACTTGACACCCTTTCCCCCTAAGCTTATCAAAATTGATGCTACTGCAGCCGCCCTACAAACCATCTGATCTTGGGGGCTGTGTATAAAATTCGTGAAAGGGGCCTCATCTGAGTTGAGCTGTCTTCAACTCCGTATTTCACCATCCTAAGGAAATGCTCAGCTGGGAAGGATGGGGCTGATTCATGAGGATGCTGTGAAGCGGAATAAGGACAGGAAGTAGCTCAAAAGATTTCCCTGGCTTCTTGTTTCTTGAAACACCACAGCGGGTGAAAAGTCGAAGGTCCTGTGGAAGAGCTCTGGAGCCTGGAGCTGCAGGGGGTGGCAGGGGGCTGGGTGGGCTGGGACGCCAGCTGGGCTCTCTTTTGGGTGCTGTGGGTCTGCATGAGCTCATTTGTTACTTCTGGGGTGTCGTTCTCAGACAGGTGAGACAAAGCACGTGCGAGCTCTGTGGTTTCTCATTATCCATTCTGCTGGAGCCGGTTATAAATAGCCAGTTATTTAAGAGCATGCAGATCAAGCTGTGCCTTTTGTGTTTTCTCAAGTTGCTCAGAGGGAAAGGCAATAAGACGAGTACTCTGCTCCCCAGCTGACCAGGGTTTGTGTGTGCAGGGGTGACGGAGGGCGCTGTCCTCTCCTTCCTAAGTGATGAGTCGTGTCCCCACGGCTAGGGAAGAAACCCACCCCCTGTGGATGAATGAAAGGGCAGGAACACAAGTAATTCACACATGAGAGGAGGCAGATACAGGAAAAAGCCCAGCTCCACCAGGAATAACAGAAAACCAAGCTGAAGCCAGGTGCTCTCCTCCACCCACAAGTTTAAGCTGCACATTGACACCCAAGTGGTGAAACCCGGACTCCTCCACACTGTGTCACTGTGAGTCGATGTAAGGCTCTAATAGTGTTTCACAAGGCCTCTCAGGAGCATCAAACTATTTAAATTCTTTGGCCTAGTAGTTCTGCACCTCGGAATCTGTCCTAAGGATGTATTCCACAAAACAGAGAGCACCCCAAAGCCCATCGCTGCAAAATTATGTTTCAGAGTGGAAAACTAGAACAATATAAATGCTCGGCAATAATGAATGATATGATGTCATCAATAAGAATTATGAGGTAAAATTATGTCGTGATATTAGAAATGTTTATGTCATGATATTTAAAAAGACAGAAAATAGACCAGGTGTGGTGATGTGTTCCTATAATCTCCGCACTCA